CCACAAGGAAGCATCCAGTATATTAGCTCACGGCACAGCTTTTGCTGCAGCGAGACGATGTGTCCGGATCTATCCATCACAAGCTTTAGCGCACCATGGTCTCTCCTGCCTTCTAATGTTGTGCCGTAGGCTAATAACCTCGTGGTGACCGCTTGGAGGGAGTTAGGTGACACCCTTCTTCTAGCTAAGAATTAGGGCACATAATTCCGCATAAGTCGGTTCATGGCACACGGCCCGCTACACTTCGGGTGTACAACTTATGGAAGGCTTTGGCTGAGGACTGGAGTCGTTCTGCTGTCGGGTGTGGACACCCTGGCAGTATCCTAGTCCGACTCCTCAACTTTAAGTTATACCAACAATACTAATAAATTCAAACCGGCCCGTAGCGTAAAAGTAACGAGCTTGCTTGTACTTTGATTGCGCGGGTTCGAGCGTGCGTGTTTTCTGGGCGACCCTCGCAGTATCCTTAGCCCACGTGCTACTTGTGGTGGTTGCACGGCAGCGAAGCGTCGGTACTGCGTACCAGCATATTGCTGGTGCTTTCTATTGCATCAGCCGTCTCACAGTTCCCTTAGGTTGATGGTTGCCTTTTCTGCTGCACACAGCGGGGTGGATAAGCCGAAACGTGCTACCGCTGCTGCCTCCTTTCTTGCTTCTTCCACTGCACATACTCTCCCCGTCCTGTTTCACCTAACCCGCTACTTCCTCCAATCCAGCTCGTCACCACCCATCCGATTGCCGGCCAACATAATCGTGTACCTCGGCGCAAAGCACTTAACATCAGGTGCTGGAACGTGCGCACTCTGCTCTACCAGAATACAAGTGAACGTACCGAGTGACGCACTGCAATGTCGCAATCTTACTCGCACGCGGTGGAGTCAATATTGATGCACTCAGGGTGATTTATCTTACGGACCAAGGGAAGCTGCATGAGGCTGGTGCTGGTTACGCGTTCTACTAGCTGGGAAGCGCCACCTCAGCACCACGTGAACTTGGGATCAGATTTGAACTATCCGATCGCCTAAATGGCCAGCCGGTGACTGAGTCGACTGGCATCAGCCCAGAATTGATGACACTCCGACTGCGACTTTGAAAATGTTAATTTGCCACTTTTGTAATCCTGAAGCGCGTGGTCAGTTCTGCACTCAGTTATCCTCCATGATACGGTCTGTGCCGAAGAGCTATCGACTATTCTTACTGGGTGACTTCAACGCTCGCGTTTGGCATGATGCTTCGGTGTGGACAGGCGTAATTGGTCCGTAAGGTATTGGTGCAGTTAATAGAGACGGTGACCGGCTGCTTTCACTGTGCGACACTCACGATCTGACGGTCCCGAATACTTGGTTTGCATTGAGTGCGAGTGATATAGTAACTTGGATACACCCACGGAATGATCACACTCATCTGCTTGACAGCGTTATCGTACGTCAGCGTGACGTGCATGAAGTGCGCATAACACGTGTACTGCGTGGAGCTGAGTGTGACACTGATCACAAGTTAGTGAGGACGAAACTATACCTATATTTTCGTAGGTTTTGTATTGCACTCCTGTTATGAATCGACGGAAGTATAATGTTCTTTCCCTTGGTACTGTTAAGAAGGAGAAGGAGTTGCGGAAGGGGATGGCTACCTCCCTTGTTAATGTGGAATGCATAGCCACATTGAACGACCTGTAGCACCACATCCGTTAACAGGTGGCTGCTGCTGCCGAGCAGACCATCGGGTTCGAGAACTCTAAAAGGCCCGGTTGGTTTGATGACAACAGCGCGACCATTTATCGGGCCCGTTGTTTATAGGTAACGAGCTTGTCTTGTAAACTGACGGTGCAGTTTCGAGCATGCGTAGGGACAGTGCGACCCTCGCAGTATCCTTAGCCCACGTGCGACTGGTGGTGGTTGCGCGGCAACAAAGCGTCGGTACTGTGTACCAGCGTACTGCTGATGCCTTTTTGTCGGGGCCATTGTCGCAATGCTGTCGGAGAAGAATGCAGCGTTCACGACACGTGTTTATGACCCTGACGACTACTCGAAGGCTAGACATTTTTCCAAACTTCGACGACGATTGACTCGTGAGCTCCATCGCGTCAAGCATGTATGGTGGACTTAGAAGATGAAGCAGCTGGAATACTACATTGGACTACGCCAGCATAGGGAATTCTTTAACTCCTTGAAGTTGATGTACGGACCCGCGTAGCAGCCGTTGAGGACGCTTATCGATCCTATTTCGTGCACTGCCTGTACACCGACTGCAGACATGATACAGTTCTGGCTATAGCACTTTGCCTGTATCTTAAACAACCGTACTAAGATTGACATGACTGTGTTGCGTGGACTGCAACGGCAGGAGATGAAGACATGTCTTGCGACCACACCAACACTAGATGAGACGCAGAGAGCACTAAATCAGCAGCGAATTGGCAAGTGTGTCGGTGCCGACGGGATCCTGCCTGAAGTGTTTAATCGCGGCGGACCCACGTTGGTAAATGTGTTGCACCACTTGGTGCAACGCTTGTGATTTGAAGAAAAGGTGCCAGCCGAGCTAAAGGACGCCCTTGTGCTACCGCTGTACAAAGGCAAAGGCAGCAAGCAATTTGCCACGAATGATCATGGCATCAGCTTTCTGAGTTGTGTGGGTAAGATGATTGCCTGCATACTGCTCGACCGCCTCGTCACTCAGTTCGTTGAACCGAACGTGGCGATACGTGTTCACGTATCGGACGATAAATTTGGAAAAGCGTATGTTGGTTCGAAGCTGTTGGTATACAAGTCTATGATGCTCTCCGTTCTTGTATGCGGCTGCGAAATATGGATGGTGTACCGGGAAGACGTCAGATGTCTAGAGCGATGTCATCAACGGTGTCTGCAACGGATTCTACGCATCGGTGGGTGCGATAATGTTGCAGACATGGAATTGTTGCGGCCCCAATGGCGTGTATACAGTGGACTGCATACCTATGCTGCGGCACTTGAGATGACTCGGGCATATCAGCCGAATGAATTGGACTATTATACTCAAATAACTTTTGTACGGTTACTTTACTGCAGGAAAGCGGTACGTGGAAAAACTGCAGTTACATTTCCAGGTCATGATCAATTAGTTTATCTCGCACTAATGTTGAATTCTGCTGTTGGGAATCAAAGGCAGTTCATTGGTGCGAATGGCATGAACTGAGTAGGAGTGTGGTTGTCCATGTGCAGTATTGCATGCGGGCGCGATTGCCTTGGCCAAGCGCTTTTTGTATGCCACCAGCGTGGTTACCCGCGGCTGGCATCGAAATGACAACGAGGCAACTGATTATCTGCGCATAGTCAGCTCAGCGGTTTTTAGGTGCGCTGCGTCCGCTTCCATTTGATCAAGTAACATAGACCAAAATGGCAATTGATGTGGTACTTGTGCCGCATCGTCGTTGCAGTTGGTCTGTACGTGTGCTTGCACTTTGAGGTTCTTGTTTTTCATGGATTGGTTGCTGATTGATACCCCCGGTGTGCATGTTGGCAAGATGCCTACCTATCTATTACACACCATTTTGTCTATACTGCCTCTACGAGACAGTTCGTCGTTGCTTAATAAGACAGTGTGCACCGTTCTCGTGACTACTAGGTTCAAAATCTGGTCCCATACATCCAGTGTGGAACAGGGTACGGTTCAGCCACCGCCTTGTGTACGTTTGTTGCGCATCCACCTGCTTCCCGGTCTTATTCCTTCGGGTTCACATTGGATAATGTGTTGTGTGGATGGAACTGTGGCGGTAACACCATGTAGGCAACCCGGAAGTTAAAAGTCAAGTACTCAGTGTGAACAATCCCAGCCTCCAAGGTATTATTCTCGAACATCGTCTACGTTGGCTCGGCCATGTATTGGGCATACCAGCCAACCTATTTTCTCTCCGAGCATTATATGCAGTACCTGAGTGGAAAAATGCCGAAGCGGACAGCGAATAATGTTGACAAGTAACATTAAGTGTGCCACCTCATCTTTGACATCAGCAGGATCTGCCCGTCTTCCATGTTGGGGACTACGGGATGGGTCTCCATATGTTTTGAAGTCTGTGGCTCGGAATCGAAATCGTTGGCATCAGTGCTGTTCTGGCATTATTTTTTCATCCAAATTTCAATTTTAACGGAGAAAATCATACACTTTCCTTTGTTTATTGAACGAACTTTTTATATCCCATTATAGCTATAGTGCTGATTGAATATATGCCTGTTCTGAGACATATATGCGCACGCTCTCTCTTCTCAGTGTTCGGTATTCATCGGGTGGAGATAACCCGTGCTCGGAGTGGAGTTCGGAGCTCAGTTGTTAACGGCTGACACCTTGATCATCAGGCCACTGTGGTCCGTGGGCAACTCAAAGTTGGGTTTGGAGTGTGCGCCACAGGATTGGATTGCGACACGCAATTTCCATTCAGACCTAGGTTTACTTTGAAGCACACCCCGTTCATTATGATCATCAGCACCGTATCGATAGTAGAGCCTTTCAGTGTTGCTCCGCCCAACACTGACAACACATGGCCGGTTTCGTCCTCATTTGGACTCATCAGCTGGAGATAGCCTGAGTTGGGGTTGAACTCGGGGCCTGGCAGTTCACGGCTAACGTCTTGATCACTATGCCTCTAAGATCCGTGTGAACCGCTTGGCACAGCGGTAAGCGAAACAAAGTTGGATTTGGTGTACCCGCTGTGTGGTTGCATGGCGACACGCAATCTCTTTTGAGACCTCGGTCATTCCGATCACCAGTACCGTATTAGCCGAAGTAGAGCGTTTCGGTGTTGTTGCCCACTACACTGTTACCCCACGACCGGGTTCGTCCTCGTTTGGACTCAGGTAGATATATCAGTGTTTGTTTCAACACAGATTTTTATCTTATCGAGCAACTAAGTTCGTCTTTACTGTTGGCTTAATGTTGCTGCTGTTTTTACCTCACCACCATCTCAGAAAGGTACTGGGGCGAGACACGTACGATAAGTCTACCCATATTTACTGCTTTTGTTTTCGTAGACCCAGCGTTTCTGTCGCCAGCTTAATCACGATGCTGATAAAGGCACTCCACCTCTTTCGCATGACTTGTCTTCTGGAGGCTCATTTGATCGACTACATCCTTGTTCCCACTCTACGATGGCTCGCGATCATTCCCTTCGTGCCACACAAACTCGCACCAGTGATCCTCCTGTTCAGTACGAAAAATCGGCCGATCACAGCGCATCTGTTGTGATGGCATCTCCAAATTCCTTCGTTTTCGGATCAAAGCGTAATACTATAACAGACAGTAGTGAGTTCCTTTAAAAGCACCGCTTTTTGGCAATTATCGGACTACGCAACCTTTTCATCTCTACATTTTTTCGCAAGCAAGCGTCACTTATTCCCAAGCCCAATAGCAACAAATACGCATCCGCTATAAAGTTGTTAACATTTGGGAGACCTGCGTTATAATCCTCTTTCTGCCATGCGTTTGACTTTGTTCTGTACGTTGCTTCTACTTTTAAGCACATTTAAATACTTCGATAGTTTTTGCAACTTGTCGCTTGTAACTTGTTTTTCGCCTTTTCTTCCTTATTATCTTCAGTCCACAATGTCAGAGGGGTTACTGGGATTTTTTTTTCTTCACTGTTCATGTAGCAAATAATTGTATTCGATCGCTGTTTCCTGTAGCAGCATGATTTTCGAAGTGGGGGTTATATGGACCGATAGTACACATAATAGAGTCAGATAGTAATGTCTAATTTAGAGCGCTTGAATAATGCACCTATAAGTCAAGCTGCCTTTCGGGTTTTAATCACGACGAGACTGGACGTTAGTGTGGCGCAAAATATGTGTGCTTTCACGATCCATCGATCTATAACCGATGGTGCGTTATATAAAAAAGAAATTATATATATATATATATATATATATATATATCCTGGCTTAGTTATGGTGCCTCGATTGTAGATTTTTCATCTTCTTTGCTTATGTATTGCGGCAAAATAGCTGCATCGTTTCTTACCTCCAGCTTAGGTGTATGATGATGATGACCAACAAAGAGAGTCCAGCTTTACACAGTGAATCAACCTTAGTTGTCATCGCCGAATTCACTACATGATAAAGACTGTTCAGAAGATTCCAATCAACCATCGATGACCCAGACTAGGAGCTGAGAACGATGCCCACTCCTGCTCCGCCAGCGCTTGCCGCATCATCGTATTTGGGTGCGTGCAACCAATAACGGGAGGATAAGTCGGATGAAATTAGCTCAACAACCACATGAGGGTCATTGATCCAAGTTTCGGACATGCAACACATGTCAATAGCCCGAGTGTCCAAAGTGAATCCGAGTGCAGCCTGTTGACCTATTTGTTGAAAATTCGAACGCTGAACAACGTCAACGAATCGGGACAGCCTGGCCTTATAAGGTACTGTTGCCGACCGACGTCCAGTGGATGATGCAAGAAGATAGTTTCAGACGGTAGAACTGCGTAGCATTGAGACTATTGTCACTTTGACTGGGAATTATAGAAGGTGGATTGTTAATGAGGGTCGGGAGGGGAAAAAGAGAAACGGATGGAAAAGAAAAAGTGGAGATGCCAGCAGTAGCATATTTTCGCTTATCCGCTCTGCCGTAGGTAGTAGATAAGGCGACACTTTTATAGCTGCACGATAGTCGATGGAAGGTGTGGTTGAATTTTAATGGAATAGTCATGGTTGTACATGGGGTGAGACACTCCCAAAACGCCCAGACCTAGACAGGAGGACGATTACGGTGCTCAACTAAAGGCTTTGGCTCTAAAGCCTGTCAACAGTGCAGCAGAGAGGTGGCAATGATTTAGTTTTACAGCAATAGGCGCCATCCCATTTCAAACCCCCAACCTGGAAGATCAGGAGACTGAGTTTGTCTGACCTCTAACCACTGACCAACCTGTTAGGAGTAGCTCTCAAGGGGTTTCGGGTCGAAAAGTTACACGCGCCGTCGCACGCCGTTATGGTCCAGTCTCGTTACGGCAATGAACTGAAAATAGAAACCAACAAATCACTCCATGACAATACAGAGGGCGGTGCAAATAAAACACGGTGCAGAAGATGTCATGGTATGCACACGAAATCGGATTCCGTAATGGACCAGGCACTATCCATTCCCACCAAGTGGGACTCATGGTTCAGTAGTGCAAACGCTCTTTGCCGCTTGGGTACTAGAGGGCTAGATTCCCGGGTACGTCTAAGATGTACTACGCTATGCCGCTTCGTTTTGCTAACTCACGACAGAGTGATGCGCAAAAATGTATGCGAGTAGTGTGCATTGAGGGGCTGGGTAGGTAGAGGGTTAGAAATTGATGTATACGAACTTGACACATTCCTGCAAAACCGTCTACAAACTTGAGGCAAAACCAGCGGACATTTAATGGTCACTACTTGGTTTCCGGTGAGAAGAGACGATATCGAGTCTACTGTCGAAGTTACTGTCTTGTGGTACTAAATGAAGGTTGAGACAGAGTAAGTCACTAACAGTACACCGACATACTGTGCCGACGCTTTGATGCCACGCGACCACCCACAGTCGCGTTTCGGCTGGGGAAACTTCTAGGTCGCCCGCACCTAGGCAGATTCGAAACGGTGACCTTTGGAGTACGAAGCAAATGCCTCATTCCTTCGGTTACGGGCCGATGGAGCAGGTGCTTATGGGCGCAGAGGCGCTATCTGTGATGCAAGATGTAAACGGCCCAATCCGGTATATTGTGTCCGAGGAGAGTATGCAGCGTTCGTGTAGATCGTGAGGAATACGTGCCCAAATAATGTGAATAAGTTCGGAAACGAACGCGCCTTCCTGTCGAATGTGTTCCAGATTCTCATAAGACGCGGGTGCCATATGGCTCTAAGGGGCCAAATTGGTAAGCCAATAAAGATGTTTTCAACAGGGATCTTACGAACAAAAAGTGAAGCGCGCGTAATTTGAGTTGAGACCATAGAACTCGAGCAGGTTTTGCCAATAGACTGTTGAAAGACTGTTGAATGAGGATCGAGTGTAGACTCGGATCATTGCTGACTATGTCCGGTATTTAGTGTTAGTTCCGGATCATCTGCAATGTGTTACAGCTGCGATGCAATCGCCATTTAGGGTGTGGTTTCCTTTGAAGTTAAAGAAAAATATGTCGAATCTTGGGATCACGTGCGAGGGGAAATAGCTTAGGGTTGCTCGTATTCAACACAGCATATGTACATGGGATGCGGAATTGCAGTCTACGAATCGGTTGGACGACAGGCAATTTGGTTTGGGGACCTGGGTCAGAACCACCTGTTGCAGCTCCTGTTTGGTAGATGATGCGCATATAAAAATGGAATTGCAATGTGGTTTCCATCTCAGTTGCATGGAGCAGACGAGCTACAAGATTGAAAAAGTGTATTTAACGTGCAGCATGTGTGTGGAAAAAGCTGTTCCTAATTAGCGGAGGGTAGTTCAAAAGTGAAACCATTAGAGTTGTGGTAAGAAGATCTTCTTGCATATCTCTGGCATTAGAAATATACAATTCGCCTCAGTTTGCTTTTGAGGGGCCGCAGCAAGCGAGGCTGCAGAAGTTAATTCCTTGCGGTAGGCGTAGTTGGAACATTGGTCGAAGAAATCGTACTGTGTGGCATTGATGTGCTTACGGAGAACCAGTTGTATAAGTAGTGGAGAAACGGACTTTCCTGAGACTCCCAGGTGTTTGTCACGCAAAATGTGCTACACCGCCTGCCTAAAACATCAAACTTTACACCCTCAAAGGACAGGAGCGCGTAAAGCAGATGACAAGGAGGAATAGATGATATCGAGGTATCAGCAAGGATACATCAAAACTTTTTACTAGCATTTAGCTGCCGTACTACCGCAAAAGGAATCAAATGAAACGTACACGTGATAGTTAGGGAAACATTTACCTCCGTTGACTCAAAGAACCGCCAATTGCGCTCGTGTTTTGAAAATTTTCTGGATTTACCGACAAACAATCTGAGCAGGGATTGCAGCTGCAGCTGGTAGACGCAGGGTACACACACTGAGTGGAGCGAAGTTCGTCGAATGGAGTCCGCGATATCGAGTAAAACGGGTAAGCTGGTAACTGCACTTTGGATGTGTCAGATGTCGTTTCATTCGGCGTATTGCCACGAGTGAGGTTATCATGACTGAGCTCCGCAACCGATTCTAATATGGTAGATGTAATGTGATCTTTCAAACTTGAAGCAAGGGATTTTTCTTTCGAATCAAACATTTCGTGTGGACTCGGCTTATTTTCTGTCGGGGTGTACACCAAAGATGGATCCGTGTCTAGCATAAGATCCGCCGAAGTTAAACTCACTGTGCTCGCAGAGGAAGGTTGCCTGAATCGACGCGTGTAAGAGGTTGACGAATGCAACTGACGCGGCGAATTCGGCACGTCACCAAACGCGGTGACTGGATTCAGGCTGAGTGGTTTTCCGGAAACAGGTGTCTCGAAGTCGGGTTGCAACGGTGCAAACAGTGTGTTTGATGACTGTGTGGAAATTGATCGCAGGTCGCCCTCGTGAGCGTCCAAGGTGTGACCAACTGAGGATATGTTTGACCGCATTGATGATTCCTCTAAAACGAGGTGGTAAAAGGGCAGATAAATTTTTTTCTAAGTCCGTTAATCACAACAACATGCAAACAAAGCGATAAGAAGGATGAAAGTAAGAGTAATGGGGACGGCGTTACGTTCGTACGCCAACAGTTCGAACAGTAGTGGCCCGAAATTCATCACCATCGGGGCAAAACAGTCGCATAAACCGATCACTTTCAGCACAAATGAGTGATCTGAGAAAATCACAGCAGCGTTGGGAGCAAGCATATATATATATATATACATATATATATATATATATATATACTATGAGAAATCTATAAGATGGGCATACAGCCAGCGAAAACCATCAAATGGAAGTTATTAGTACGAAGACCACAAAGATGGAGATAACGATGAACGTTGAAAAAAGCTATTTTATTTTTGAATCTAGTTTGTTTTTTTCACACGCCATTTTATCTTTTTTATCTGTTTAATGTTTGCGATGTTAATGAAAAAACAAGACAAACATTCACACACGTTTCCCAGTGGGCCCGGTTCTGTGCCATCTCCGAAAGAATTTCCAGCCAGTGGTCCCAGTGGTCGGAGTAGCAGTTCTTCACTACAAATTAAATAGTGCTTCAAACTGGGACGGTATGGCAAATATCATTGTAGGACGACTGTTGATAACCGTCATCTGAATGTCATAGTACAGTGTGGTAAGTTTTCTAAATCATTCGTGACAATGTAA